TTTTTTTTTTTTTTTTTTTTTTTTTTTTTTTTTTTTTTTAACAAAGAGCATCTTGCAGCCCCAGGAAGATATTCAGAAGTCACAGCAGGGACAAGAGCCATCTTCAAAGAGTCAGAAAGGACTCCAGCTTAGCAGGGCAAGGCTTCAGATGCCCCTTCGTAATTTTCCTAGATGCTCAGCGTCACCCAGTGTGTTGATGCACGCCTGTAAGCCTTGCTACTTGAAAAACAAGGAAGGAGGATTACAAATTGGAGATCAGCCTGGGCACTTAGTGAGATCCTGTTTTAAAATAGAAAATAACTCTTAGAGAAGGCAGATTGTCACCCAGTCTGGGGTCGGTCATTTGGCACAGCTTTGTGCAGGCCATTCCTTTGCCAGGAAAGTAAATGTTTTGTTGGTGGTGTTGTTGTTTTGTTTTGTTTTACCCAAAAATAAAATAAAATAATTTAAAAAATTAAAATTAAAAAGGACTGAGGGTGTAGCATAGTGACAGAGCACCCCTAAGTTAAATCCCCAGTGCTGTTTCCCCTATCCAAGATTCAGGATGAATTAATTTCCGGACAACTACATCGACTTCCCGTAAGCTCTTGGCTTTCACACCTACCCATCCACTCTTCTGTTTCTATCTTTCATAACCACAGCCGAAGACTTCAAAATACAAATCTGATCTAGTCACCCGCTGCCTGCTTAGAACGTCTAAAGACAAAAACAAAAGCCTTCACTATGCCCAAGAGGTCACTCGGGTGTTCCTGGTCACCAGGCCTGTTTCCCCCAGTTCTCCTTTGCGCCTGCTCTTCTCCTTCCATCTGAACATTTCTCTTTCCTCCATTCTTCCAGTTAATCCTAACTTCAACTCCCAGTTCAGTGGTTACTTCCTTGCAAAGCATTTCCCGACATCATGGATATGGAAAATCACCTTGTGACAGGCTCTCCTCGTACCATGTGGCCCTTTCATCTGTAGCGCTTAACACGGTCAGGATTGCAGACTTACTCACATAATTATTTGATCCTATCTGTAAGCCCTGTCCCACTTGGTGTAAGGTTCACAAGGGCAGTGATTTTGTCTTGTTGTCTGCTTGAAATAAATGGACAGTTGGCTGAGTTCATGCATGCATAAGAGAGGGAATGGATAAGCGTCTGGATAGGCAGGTGTGTGAATGTATGGGTAGCTGTAGGAGGGCATGGATGGATGGAGGGAGGGATGGGAGTGTGGCTGACTGGACGCTCCCATTGCCCCCAGCCTATTTAGATCTAGTCACAGTTCCCTCTAGTCTGTCTAGCTAATCTTCTCCTTGTCTATTTTATATATGTCAAAGATCCCCGATGCGCCAAGAATGTGCCCGTAGTACAGTGGGAACCCAAGGACAGAGGGATTTCCATATTCTTAAAACTTAATAACTCATCACAGCTAGTTCCAGTAATAGAGACTGGAAGTCTCCCAGTGTCTCAGGGCTCAGCGGAGGCATTGTCTGCCCCAATAATTCCTCTCTGATCAGTCAGCCCGTGCCTGATCTCCAGTCCTCGGACTGTCCCAGCTCATAAGTCTGGGGTACTCTTGCTTATCCTTGATCACAAATTGCTTCATGCTGTCTCTTGTCCTTTTCAGTGACTTTCTTCTGCTCCTCCAGACTGCTGGGAGGACTTACCTCTCACAGAAGGCCAGTATGTAGGCTGGGCATTGCACACTCAAGCTCGCATGCGTGCGCGCACACACACACACACATACACTGCCTCTTTTAATTTTCTCAAGACCCAGAGTGAGGCATGATCACCCTGATTGATTGATTGATTGATTGTGCTGGGGATTGAACCCAGGGTCTTGGCGCCATCGAGCTCTATGCCCAGCCCTTTCTTTATTTTTAATTTTGAGACATGGTCTCCATAAATTGCCAGGCCAGACTCGTTCTAGCCTCCCCGACTGCTGCATCACAAGTGTGGACCAAGGCTCCTACCTGACACACTCTCATTTTAAGTAGCTGGAAACGGATTTACCCCGTATCACACAAATACTAAATAGTGAAGCTAATGATATAATCTAGGCCTGCCTGAATCAAGACCGAGATCCTTAACCAGAGTCCCAGGCCCAAATACCATCTCCAGCAGCTCATTCTACAGCTGTCAGAGACTTCACCCTAAACTGGCTGAAATGCGCCCATCCGAAACTGCTGCTCAGGGACCCCGATTCTGACCCCCGGTTATAACCAGGACAAGTGTGTCCTCTCTCACACGGCAGTCTGTGAACAATTTATGGCCAGGTCTCATGTCTGCTCTGCATCTTGTCCTCTCTGGGGAGGGCCTGCAGGGCAGAAAAGGTACTAACTGGGAACTATGAAACCTAGATTCTCATCCCAGCTCAGCTGCTGTCCACAGCCAATTTTAAAAGAAAATTAAGTCGGTGATTGTGACCAGAAAGGATGATAAAAACCATCAACCCCTATCACTCTGGTTTCATAAAAGAAAGGGCAGCTGACACAGAAAAAAGTAGAGCAATCTCAGAATTAATTTAGCTTTATGCAAACTCCCTACATCGTCCCTGTTGCTCTCATTTTACCGTGTCCTGGAGTTAACTCTGTAGGGGACTGGCCCAGGTCTGCAACAGCCTTTGCTCTAACCCATTAAAGAAAACAGCATCAGTCCAGGAAACCGGAACAGAGCACTTCAGCTTCAGGACAGGGTAGTTTCCCTGTTTTGAGAAGGAAGGAAAACCTGAAAGTGTCTGGCGGAGCGAGGCAGCCAAGCTTAGGAAGTAAGACAGACTTACTTCTCCATTGGGCTGTGGCTTCACATCCAGTTTCCACATCAGTTTAGAGGCACAGAGTCTTTCCTTACTCATTTTTGTGGGTTTTTTGTCTTTTGGTGTTCATTTGTTTTTTGGCACTGGGGATCAAACACAGGACCTCACACTTGCAGGACAGGTGCCGTACTGCTGAACCAAATCCCTGACTTTTTTTTCGTTTGCTTTTTTTGGAACAGCGTCTCACCGTATAATTCAGGCTGGCCTTGAACTCACTTCGTAGCAGAGGCCGGCTCAGATTCTTGGCTATTCTCCTGCCTCGGCCTCTCGAGTGCTGGGATTCCAAGGATGTGCCACCACGCTGGGCCATTCTTTACTCTTGTAACTCCATAGTTGCCCTGTGACCACCCAAGGCCACGTTTCTAGCAAGTAGAAACTCCTGGAAACCAGGAGGGCTGTTCTGGCCCCTGATAGAGGAGAAAGGGTAGTTAGTTACACAGAAGCAACACATTTTCTCTTGGACCAGTTCTGGGCTTGGATTTACTTTCATTCATTCATTCATTTAATATTTATTGAACACCTAGGATGTGCAGAACACTAGGCCAGCATTAGATGCACATGGGTTAGAAAAGAATGATTTGGTCTCTGTTCCCGTGGGTTCTAGGCTCTGTTCAGAGAGACAGATTTAATCCAAGTGAAAGGAATAGGGTAAATTCAGAACTGCAGTAAGTCGTACAATAGAGGCACAGGTCATCCCCTAGAGTATTAAATAAAGAGGGTTCCCGTAGTCGCCAAGTCATGGGGGGTTGAGACAATAATGACCAAGCTGAGATGAGAAGAAAGAGCAAGCACCGAGCCTGTGAAGGAGGGAAAGCATATTCCAGGGAGAGCGCTCGGTGGAGAATGAGCAGAAATTGCATGGAAACCTGTGATAAGGTCAGTCTGACTGAGGAGGAACGAGCAACAAGGACGGACCTGCGGGATGAGGCTGGGGAGGGAGTTGGGGCTCACCTGCTACCTAAGGGGAACAGGAAGCTGCCAAAGGGCACGGAGCATGGGAAGTGGTATCACAGATGCAATGGAGGTAGGGAGGAAACAATAATGGCCTCTTCAAAAAGTTAAACTGAACCAGGTAGGTGGCGCACGCCTGTCATCCCAGCACTTGGGAGGCTGAGGCAGGAGGATCACTGTGAGTTCGAGACCAGCCTGGGCTACCTAGTGAGACCCTGTCTCAACCCCCCCCAAAAAGTTAAATTGATGGTGGCGTTGGTGGTGGGAATAACAATAAAAATAATAGTGCTGGGCCGGGGATTTAGCGCAGCGGTTTGGCAGCCTGCCTTACAAGCGCAAGGACCCGAGTTCAATCCCCGGTACCCAAAATAAATAAATAAATAATAGTGCTAAGATTACTGAACACCATGCCCTGTATATCATTATTTTAAAATTTTATGCATTCATTTGTTGAATCTTCACAGCAGTCCTATGAGGGTGGATACTGTTATTGACCCCGTTGTATCGCTGACAAAACTGAGGCACAGAGATTAAGAAATGTGCCCAGAGTCACAAAGCAGGTACCACACACCCTGTTGTTTTGCTCGATTGGTTTGTGGGTGTTGGACATAAAAATGGGCCTTATGAATGGTAATCACATGGTCCATGGCTGAGCAATACCACCAGTCCTGTGCGATTTTGAGAAGAGAACACAGTCATTGCTAGGAAGAGAATGCATTCTTAAAGACCAAAAAGGATGCAGGAGAAGGCTTTTGGCTGTGCTGCATCTGATGAAGAAGGAGGAGGGTAGAAGGGTTAGATTGCAATGTTTTTGCTAATGGATCAGGTGTGTGGGTTGAGGGAAAAGAAAATATAGGATAATTCCAAGATTTTCTGCCTGAATAACTGATGATGGTATAGTTACTAAATCAGGGAAAACTGTGGGAGGAACAGGTTTGGGTAGGAGCTGGGGGAGGGAGCAGAGCTAAAAATGATGTTGTAGACACATCAGGTCTGTTTTTCCTCTTGAGAGGCGTAGATGGCAACTGGACAGAGTTTATCTCAGAGGCAGGGTCAGGGCAAACAATTTTAAACTGAGACACGAGGATATCCGCGGTCCTGGAATCGCAGCGTTGAGTCCCTAGGGGAATAAGATGCAGACAGAGATTGGGAGGGACGCATCCTCGAGTTCCCCAGCAGAGATTGCACAGTGGTACGGAGGCCAGCAGGGCTGGATGAGAAAGAGCCGGTGAGGGAGGCCGTGTGACAAAGTCTCGGCCTAACCCGTCCCTTCTGGCCTGCTCCGTAATCTCCGCCAAGTTGCTTCCTGCCTCAGAACATCAGTTTCCCCTCTGCAGACAAGGGGTTGGCTGCGCTCATCACGAAGGTGACTCCAGACTGGTCCTTCTGTGCCTGTTCTGAGAAGAGTGGGAGCAACTCCGGTAGCCGCTTACCCAAAGAAGAAACCAACACTGAGTCTCGCTCGCCTTGTTTCCAACTCCTACAATTGGCCCACTCAGATAAAAATCCCACAAACACCAAAACGTAGCCCAGGGTCCAACTCGGAGAAGGTGGGGCTGAGCAAGGCCATGGTGACCTACGGTAGAACCCAGCCCCTTCCCAGCCGAGTGACTTGTCCTCAGTCACCTGTAAATGGCAGCCCGTAATACCCACTGTGCAAGGGTTATTGGTAGAACCAAAACAAGTAGCAGGCGAAGTGTCCCGTGTGGTTCTAGGTGTGCTTGTGATCCATGTGTGTGATCTTTCTGCTAAAGATATTACTTCCTCGAATCGGAAGACAGGAATTGCAGGGTGGCTCTGCCATTACAGAGTAATGCCATCTTGCTGCTGATTAACTCCCAGAGTACCATCTCCACCTCACCGGCGCAGTAACGGCTGCCCAACTGATTATGAGAATTAGGAGTCTACAAAGTGATACGCGCATGCCCATGTTTCTAGCAGCACGATTCATAAGTAAATTTATTTCACTTAACATGTTGGTCTCACGGTGCGTCCATTTTCCTACAAGGGACTCAAATTTATGCTCCTTTTGGGCAGAGTGGTGCTCCATGGTGTGTCATCACCACATTTTCTTTATCTACTCACCTGTTGATGGACACAGGCACCACTTCCGAGGTTTAGTCACTGAGCCCAACCAATCTCCCTCTTGCAGAGATGACCCCCAACTTCAGTTCTGCCAGAGGAGACGGCCTTGTATAAGGTATTGTCTTCCGCTCAGTCTAAGTCATAAAAGCTGAATTAAACAGTACCTTCCAGCCGCTGGGGTACTGCAAAAAGTAGCAGGCTCGGAGCGATTCCAAGACGTGTGCAGAGGGAAGTGGACACCCGGCTCTGTCCCAACACACACACACACACACACACACACACACACACACACACACACTGCCAAATCTGGGGTAAGTAGCAGCCCCTCTCCTGGTTCCTGCAGAAGAGAGACATCAAAGAGATGGTCAGACTTGCCTCTGGTCTCACAAGGGGAACTGTTCTCCCTTTCACTTCTGCTTTGAGGCAAGACACATCCTGTGTGTCAGGACCACTCGGGGAACAGTCCTGTCCTCTCAATATCAACCACCCACAGCACCCAGTTTGGTGACCAGGAATAGGACAGCCTGGGGAGTCGGGAGTGGAGACATGGCTCTCAAGGACAGCATAGGAAGCCCAGGGCAGAAGTCCCCCCCTTACTTGGGATTGCAAGTGTGTGCCACTATGCCCAGCACAAATGAGCTCTTGCTGTTCTCCTTCTCCTGCTTTCTTTCAGTCCTTTCCCAAACTTCAGACTTGCTCAAGTTTGCATAGAGGTTATTTGTGCACCTGCTGAGCACATTTAAAACGGAATATTTGGCCTCCGTGAGGAGAATATATACAGCACTGCCTTAAAATTACGGGGCTGAGAGCTGGGTGCAGTGCTGCACCCCTGTAATCCCAACTGTTGGGGAGTCTGAGACAGGAGGATCACTTGATCCCAGGAGTTGGGGACCAGCCTGGGGAATGTAGCGAGATTCTCATTCTGATTCAAAAGGAAAGGAAAGGAAAAAAGAAAAGAGAAAGACCACTGGGAGTATAGCTCAAGGGTAGAGTGTTTGCCTAGCATGCATGAAGCCGTGGGTCTGATCCCTCTCACAGCAAAAGATAAAATCACTGGGCACTCGGCGCCGCCAGGCATCTCCGCAAGGCTAACTGCACGCGCTCTTCACCATGACCCACTGACAGAGGCCTGAGAAGCACGGCCCGCATCTACCTCAAGCTCCAGGTTCAGGGAGGTGAATGGACTTGCTCAGGACTACAGACATAGCTGGCACGAACACCAGAAAAGAACGGCGACTCTAACTCAGACCGTGTCCTGGGTCAATTCACAAAATGTTCTCACAGCCCAGATTCTCACATCAAGCCCGAGTTATGCAGTGAAGGCCGCCGATTTCGCTCGTGGGTGTCGAAACAGACGCGGGTCGGGTGGTTTCAGGAGCGCGCACAGGGTCACGTGCTGAAGAAACAGGAGGCTGAACCCGGGAGCAGGGTTTCTGTCTCCCTGAAGAGAAAAGAGGTCGTGAAAGAGGATCATTCCCCTGCCAGTTCTACCTGAAGCGCTGGCCACCCCTTTAGAGTCTGAGTGTGTTCAAAGCGCATTGTTCTACGTAGATCCGGGGCCAGGAAGAGCAAAGCCTGACAGGTGAGCGAGGCTAACCTGGCGTGACCCCAGACGGGCTGGCTCAGGGCTTCTGGACAATGGAGCCATTTTTTGCTCTAATTTGCACCCTGGAATTTGGCAACACTAACCTCCCACCAGAAATCAGTTAAAAGTGTAGACTGGGTGGGGCGGGTCTAAACTCTCCTCTCCCCTCTCCCCCCCCC